TTTTTTTTTTGAACAGCACGAACTGACAACGTTATTTTTCATCAGAAATCTCCGTTACTGGTGAAATTACCGTTCGCAGTCATCGCTGTAGTCTTTCTCATATATCTTTACATGTACGCGTGGCCAGCCGATCATATGAAAGACATGGTAGAATACGTATGAATTAATTATTAACGCGTGAGTGATATTTTCATTTTCTATAATTCGCAGAGCCTAAGCGTTTCACGTAGCGTATACGAGTTAAAGTGGTACGACGAGATGGTGGCGATGCAAAAGAATCTGCTGAAGGTGTTGGTATGTCAAAGCCCCGTAAAACTTTATATCAGTTTTCTAGTACCGGAGCTGTCTTTAAATTATTACTGTACGGTAAGCCGAGTCAGCAATCAAATTTCAATTGAATGATTTTTTTAAAGAATAAGAAGTACTTTCCAGTAATTCAGTATCAATTTGATCAAAGTGATCGACGTTTTTTTTGTAGAGTTTTTATAGATTTGCTGTAGCGCATTTTAACCCGTTCAATGTGGGACGATTTTTAAAAATCCATTTAATAAAAGTTGAAGAAAAAAAAATTTTTTTTTTTTTTCAATGTATTTCGAGATGATTGATGTGTAATGATATTTGATCACCATCATTTAATGAAAAATAATTTTAAAAATAATGATGGCGATACACGTATAACCCGCATATTAAAGAGCTGTATAAACTGTATAAAGTTAATGTATATTCAGTTAAATGTATAAGTTTAAGTGTTCTTTATTTTATTATAAATTTTGTTATAAATCGTTTCTTGCACGTTGGTTTCTTTAAAATAAATTTCGTACTTTAGCCAGCGTTAAATAAATTAATTATAACATCTATCTACAACTTTGCTTTTTCTTTGCAATTTTGATATTGGAGATATTCTTATTGCTGCAAATCATTCAATTGTTGTTAATAAATCTACCGAAGATTGTAACGGATTGGTAACTTTTCAGTATGTGTCGAATGCTCTGTCGATGTGTACCGCTCTACGTGCTATTCTAAATAAGAATATAGCTGTATAGAAACTATCCTAAATATCCTAGTCGTACTTAGAAAATAAAAAAGTTATTGTTGTGATAAATAAACTTGTTAATTGTAGATGTATTTTTGGTGAAAATAAAGAAATTAGAAATCTACTTATTGGAACAAAATTTTGGTACACGGATAATTATTAAGCCGAAATAAAGGAAACGAAGTAAATTCGTCCTTGGATGTTACACAGATAAACGTATGTAGGTGACATGAACATATAAAATCGTGTAATCCCTACGATATAATACGGTATACTTTGCAAATATATTTTATAAGATTTTATAACATATATTTGCAAGGTATATCATATATACTATGAAATGTTATAACATATATTTATAACATTTCATAAGCTATAACATTTTATAAGCTAAATATATTTGCATAGATTTATGAAAGATTTATGTCAATACCGACACTTTTTTATTTTATTCTTCTTTTTTCACTTTTCTTTACTTTTTTTTTCTCCTCTTTTGTATAAATTTTTCTTTGCTTTTTTTTACGAATATATTCACCATCATATGACATATTGTGAAAGCAAATGATTGGTTCACTTACAGTATAATCTCTACTAATTCTAATTATAAACTGAAATCAATTTACATTCATTTGTCTTTTTCCTGTATTGAAATCCGTTGTTGTGATTATTCTACATGTAGTAGAACCAAAAAACAAGAAAGTTATCTTACCACTTCTTTTTAGAAATAATGTTACCCTTCGTTAAGGGTAACTTCCATCGATCAATTTTTTGGAAATAATTTGACTTTCATGGTGAAAGGTACAATACGCACACTCGAAGCTCTTCACGAGCTTAAACTGATTGTTTAATATAATGCTTTCGACGAGAAAAATCAGCGTGTGAAATACACTTCTCGAAGATCGAAGACAAACGTCGTTACGCGAAGGTTAAAACCGATTGAAGCGTATGCAACAGCGTATGAAAAACAATTATCGCGAGTATGATACTGAACGCTACGTGTAGAACAATTTTGGATGCTTCCCACTGTATCGAACCTTTATATATTGATTTTGACGCATAATAATCAAGTTTCGCGTATGTCTATCCGTAGACCGTATCCCACCAACGAGTGAAATACTTGTATGAAGTACTCTACAGTTATTATTGTCGAGTGAATTTTTAAAACGAGAAACCATATTTAACCATATTAACTGATAGATACGTTATTGTTTATCATTTCGGTGGGCACTTGCGCTAGTAAATTTTCTGATATCTTGTATATATAGTGTCGCACTTTTCATGGTGCAACTAGGAAACTGGTGGTTCTACGTGTGAAAATAAAGTAGGAGGGATGAAAGCATAATATTTTCTTATTTAACACTGTTGCTTTCGTTTGGTCATTTTTCACTTTGTTTGCATTTTTTTAACTCCTTGAAAGATTTCTCGTGTTCGTACGACTTTTCAGACGTTAGTTAGATTCTGAAGATATTATCAGTTTACTCCAGCTTTTAAAATGCAAGCAAGATTGAGAACTACAAGAATTTGAGGATCATGGCAATGTTAAGACTCCGTCGTCGAGAAAATAGAGTTTAAAAATATGTGAAATGTGGTTGAATTGTATTTTTGTGAACGAAAAATGAACGATCGACACCCAAAAATATTTTTTTAATATAATTTTTCTATCCAACGCTAAAAGTGCAACTTGAAAATTGTATAGTTGAATTCGGTTAATTTCGTACTGGACAAAACTGAACAATTGTCACTCGATATTATAAATGCAAATGTAAATGAAAAATACAGTAAGTGAATAAAATTTTTTTAACTAGACTTTAAATAAATTTTGTTAAAAATTGGTATACTTGATAAAAATTAATATTCTCAGGGACAAAGCATTCTTTGAAAAAATTTTATTCCATATTTTTCTACTTCATCTTTTCTACTAGAATCAACCAGTATTCCATTATCATGAAAATTGGAACACCTTGTATAATATAACGAATTAACGATGCAATGTATGAACAGAATTCACCGCAGTTTATAACTATATCTATTGCTATGCTCATACAAGTTTATATGTTTGCATGGCCAGCTGATCATAGTGAAGGAATAGGTAAATAATATTAAACTTATGAATTTATATTTACAAATGCAAGAAAGAGCTATGTTACAAAATATAAAAACAAGATTTTTATTAATTCTAATATCTCTTAAAGTTTAAACGAAAGACTTTTCATTTCAAACGAATTTTTCTCACGATTTTGAAAATTGAAGTCCCTCTTCTACAAAAACTTTTTAAAATCTACTAAATGATTTTTTCCTCGCTATTTTTATTATCGGGATTGAATATCAAAAGTTCAGGAAATCGTAACATTTCGTCCTAATATTCAAGAGAAGTTCAATAAAATAGTGAAAAAAAAAAAATCATATAGCAAATTTTAAGGATTCGTTGTAAACTGAATGTTTCAATTTTCAGGGTCGATTTAACTATGAACAAAAATTTTTCAATACTTTCAAAGACGTCTGAACTTTTGTAATTTTCGAGAATAAAAATCCTTAGTTTCTCACTCGCTATGCGATATAAAAATATCTTTGAGAAAAACAAATTCAGGACTGTTAAAGCAAAGGTTTAAATGTGATTAAATAGATTGTTACAAATTTTTTTTTACGAAGGTATAACAGTTTAAAAAATCGATAATTTTTCATGGGTTGGTTCAGTTATGCTCTTTCTTGCACTGAATACGTTGATCACTCTTTCTAATTCTTTTGTTTCAACTTCTAGGGTATAAACGTTTCACGAAGTGTATACGATGGAGAATGGTATGAACGGTCATTGAAGATGCAAAAGATGTTTCTAAACCTGTTGCTATATCAGAAACCAATAACTCTCGATCAGCTGGAAGAGCTTTCTTTGCGTTACTATTGTTCGGTAAGCTATGTTTACGTTTGAATGTTAATCACGATGAAACAAAGACACAGTATGTTTCAAATGCCTTCTCTTCACTGCCTTGGTGGTGAAAGATAAATCGGAAGAACAGACATGATCTGATTATTGTTCTAATTACGCGATGAAAAATTTTGTTGCTATATCTATTATAGTTGTTATAGTCATACATACATACAAAAAGTCATACAAAAAAAAGTCTTTTTATTTCTTTTATTTTTACGGGGAATTTTTTTTTAACTTCTCAGATTTCTATGCTTTTTCTTTTAATTCATAGACTGGTAACTGGCCGATCGATATTTCAGAAAGTTAAAAAAAGTCTTATAAATATTTTTATGGAAAATAACATAAGCGTGCAAAACTGAACACGCATAATCAAACTGCGGATTTTTATGTATTTACGCGAATTTATATTAAATTTTTTGCAGTTTTATTATTTAAAGGAAACAGAACTTGCAGTGTGCTGTTATCCACACATTGAAACTCACTATATACGATTTTTTTAAGAAAGGAAATACCCGAGATAATAGAAAAAAAATATTTTCTGATTTTAATTCCTATTACTGGTAGCGCTACGGTGCAAAACCTGCCTAAATCGATATAGTAGGATGTGACACGAAAATGGTAAAGAGCTCGGGTGATCCTCAAAACATAAGACACGAAAAACCATTGAATATCTGATCTAATTAAACAAGAATATTGCTATTATATGCTAAAGTATGTATTGCAAATCCTCGATCCTGATTTTCATAAAATTCCTCCGATATTCCCGATTGTTGGTAAGGTAGGAGAAATTGCAATTACATTCAGTTCGTTGTATGTTCGATAGGTGCTCCAAGTATGCTCTTTGATATATATGCACGCTTCTAATACACAAAAAATATCAATATCTACCGCACGTTAAAGGGAGTAGAATTTAGGGTTGAATAAATCTTATTTTTCTGAAAGTCTAAAAAAGCAAGACACATCTTTTTCTGAAAGTCTAAAAAAGCAAGAAAGAGGCGTGTATTAATATTGTAAGAACCATATTATTGAACTACTCTGGCAAAATAGTTTCAGTAAAAATATTTCAATCCTTATTTTTCGAATATTTTAATATTTAAATATTCTGTTACCCGAACAGTGAATTTTACATGTTTTACATGTTTTTCATAATTGGAAAGAGATTATTCTTATTAAAATATAAGATATTAAAAGATATTAAAAAGACGACATGGAATTTATAAGAAACTATGTTTATTACTTCGTTTATTTGAATCAAATTTCAGTCAAGATCCGATTAAATGAACTCTTGTTTGAATATATTGAATATATTGAATGTACATTCTTCAACCTTGTTACATATATGAAAAATGACTGGTAAAAAGGTGAATTATAAACTCCCTAATCTCTATGAAAGATTATATAATAAAATTATCATTTTAAAGATTATATAATAAAATTATCATATAAAATCCAATAAGTTACTTATTTCCATAGACATAATTCTTATTTCCATAGACATAATTAAAGATTATATAATAAAATTATCATATAAAATCCAATAAGTTACTTATTTCCATAGACATAATTCTTTCATAACAAACAGGGCAATGAAATAGGATATGCACAATTATTATTGTAAGAATCCATAAAACAATCTACAGCAAACAAGAATCATGAGAATATGCCTTTTCGCATATTGAAACAAAAAAAAAAAAAAAAAAAAAAATGATTTGAAGCTTATAGAAGAAATCAAAAAGACATAACATTCGTAGCTATGGAAATGAATATTAAAATAAACAATATATCCACTATCGACTCTCTCTGCTTTAGTCTATATATTTGATTGCCACTAATTGTATATCTGGACCAGTCGCGGACCAGGAAGGATAAGAAATCGTCAGAAGGCGAGAAGATCGCAGTGGTATCAGGACTCGAGATTTTCACGGTGGTGGTTGAAAGAGCAAGATGCCTGGCACCCGTGAAACGAGAGAGGTTCCTCTCGGGCCGATCGAGCCGCCCGATATCGCGGCCACACGATTTACTGTCATTCGCGCGTGCGAACACCAGCTTCTAGATAGAGAGAGGAGCTTCTTCCCCTCGGAATCGTAGCGCCGATAGAGGCGCGCGGTTGCGTTATGTTGCCGCTAATTTGGATTTATGTTCGCATTCGCACGTCGTGGCCCCGTCGCTCGACGGCTCGCGCCGCCACTGACAGAATCTCCGATCGAACCTCCCCCTCTTTTTTCTTTCTCTTCAACTTCGGTAGAAAATTCCCCGAATCGTTCTTCGGATCGTCTCTCGCGATCGCGATGTTATGAAAGAGCAAGAATTATCGTGGAGTACAGATCGAGATCTCGAACGATCTCGATTGGATAGGTGACGATTCGTAACGATGTCCTGTCGAAGTTTATGAGTGGTCTGTCGATTTCTTTCAGCCGCTTGTACCGAGTTTTCAAGGGCAAAAATATGTGAAAAAATAGCAAGATCCGTTTTGTATGAAGTTATCAATTTTATGTTATTTATTCAAGCATAAGTCACGAAACTCAGGTGCAATTTTAAATTTTCATAAACCATGATTAGTTTTAACTACAAAATATCGTAAGTGTTCTGTTTGAATATTTTACATATTTTTATATATAGCGTGTACTTATCTCATAGATTTTTAATTTTTTCATTTTCCCAAAAATCCGTAAACATCCATAGTCTAGGTATGAGATATTAGTTAG